GCTTGTTATGGGTCACTTTATATCACCTCCTGATATAGCTATATTATATACTTCATCAGAACCCAGGCTTCAGACTCCTTTCTTCAAAAAGATTTACTCTAAAGTGGTAAATACTTGGTGTACACCATATCTCAAAAAACTGTGAGCACTTCAGGTGAAAAAATACTAGAGTTAGTGAAAGTCCTAGATGAGTAACTAAAAGCACCATAAAAGCTCTGGATGAGCACAAAACCTATGTTTCACTGTATCCTCTAATACAAGAACTCAGTGCACTGAGCAAGAGTAGTTAAAAACACATTTTAAAATGTAGTTCTGTAAAAGAGCAGTGGGGAACTCTTGGAACTTGCTTTTCTAGGAGGCTGCAGGGCAGGCAGCCTAATAAAGTTCAAAAAGTGATTAGACAAGTTTATGAACAACAGATCCATAGTGGATACTAAAAGGAATTGGCAATAGCATAAACACTAATGCCCTTATTTGAGCAACTCTGGGTGATGGGGACATATTGAGGGATGTGCTAAAGACTTCAACTTGTTTCCTCACCTTAAGCTGCATCTCTCCAGCAGCCACTAATGAAGGCAGGGCCTGAAGGACATTTCTTAGCACCCTGTGCTCTCACATCACTGGCCTCATCTGGAGCTAAGGAGGGAGCCTGCACAGACAAAGCTCTAGCAACATACAGGGCATGGATGAAGAAAAAAAATGTTGACCTCAGCAATGGAATTAAGTCTAAACTAAGAAATGATGAAATGTTCCCCACTGTGAGGCAGCACTACATCCTTCCCTCCAATAGAGAGTTACAAAATGCAAATGCAGTGGTTCACCAGTGAGGGCAACCAGTTGCCTGGCATAAGGGGTCACAGACTGGGACAGCACCTGATGCAGCTTAGCACTGAGATACAGGAGTAGCTGGGAGCCAAAGGGGAGGAGAGGAGGTAGAAATCTGGGTGCAAGTGGGATTTGACAAACCATAAGTTCAGGGAGGAGGTGTGTAGTTTAGGATGGATGTAGTTTAGGATCAATGTTTGAAATCAAAGCTTAAGGTGACATGGTGTAGGAATTCTACTGGAAAGAGAAAAATAAGGAAGAAGTCAGGAAAAACCCACCACCTACAGACATTCCTATTTCTTTGATTTTGCTCTTGGACTGATCTTTTCTCAGTCCCTGCCTACACAAATGTGCTATGAACTTGACAGACTGTCAGCCAAGTATTGTAAAGCAAGCTATGCTGCCACTGATATAGCCGTCACTGTGCTAAGTCCTTGATAAGGTGGATGTGAGGAAGCTTCCCAAATGACAAGCATTTGAGTCCACCCACTGCTTCTAGAAAACTGAGCAAATTCAGTCAAGAGCTGGGGATTTGTTCAGTTAATGTTTTCATACCTTCAAACATTTTGTATGTTAACAGTTTAATTAAACGTGCATCTGCACACATGTACCTATCCTTATACACATGCTCTTTCCTTAGCTATTGCCTGAGATGCTCCATGAAGAAAGGAAATCAAAGCCCTGGGGCCTACATTTTTTTTCATATGCTCAGAATACAGAGAGCACACTTAAAGGTAGCTCAACCTTCCTGCCCACCCTGCATCTCTCCTGCTTACTTGACTTGGCTCTACTTGTTAAGGGTAAGTCTGGAATCTTTCCCTAAGAGTGTGGATTACTTTGTGGATTACTTTCCTAATTAATGCCAACTGTCAGATTTGCTCTGGTTATGTAAGTGTTTCTCCAGCAGGCCTGGGAAAGTCACAGGAGACTTGTGATTTCTGGTCATAAAAGTTTCCTTTGCCACCTTCTTAAGAAAGCCAGCTATGCCTTGATGAACAGGCATCTATTGTGGTATTCACAAATCTCCTGAAAATCTGTCTGATGGCAGAGATGTACAAAGTACAGTTCAGGGCAATTTAATTTTTGCTTTCAAAGACATGCTTGCAGCTATGCTGTAGTATGACAGGGAGAACCAATGAGGCTGTTCCAGACAGCAGGAGGTGGAGATGAGTAAACTCCTCTGCCAACTGCCAGATTGCATGTCTGACACATTGCAGATGTAAATCCAAGGAACTCAATGGGGATACTACGCTCAGTCACACCCGCTGAGGATGTGCCTGTGTCTTCAGGGCAGGAGGGAGTAGCAAAAGAAGAAAGAGAAATTCCTTGATATAAACTGGAACGATTTTATGCAAGCAGGAGCCTCCCTGGGCTTTTCTCTGAGGCAGCCCAGAATGCCTTTCTTGTCCCATTTGCCCCATGTCAAAGCTGTGAAAGCAAAATTGCTGTGCAACAAGATACATCTTTGCACTATGATGCAAAAGGAAAGAGAAATGGTTTTATTGCTTATCTATAAAATATGATAGTATTTAGATCCCAAAGACTAGGATTTGGTGTGTTGGTGCTACCAGCTGTAATATCCTAATTATGTGTTCCATCCCTTTGTGAGGGGGAAAAAAAAAAAAAAGTAAAGTCCAGAATGAGAGTCAGCTCAGCAATGGCTTGGATTTCTTGCAGGAAGAGGAACTTTTATAAGTTTGTTAAGATTAGCTATACCTCTGGGAGATGCCCTTCCATCAGGCATTCACCAGCGGGCTCAGTCCAGAGGTAATGATGAGTGGAGATATTCAGCAAGCTGGATTAGGTCAGGTAACATTTCCTGCTGGCCTGGATGCAGTATTGTCATTAACACATGGGCACTGCACATTGAATTCTACAGTCAGCTCTGAAGTGTTGCTCATTAACAGCAATTATACATTAAGACATCCTGGCAACAAAGAGGGAACACAGCACATCCAGAAGTCTAGGTCAAATGTGGAAACAGAACCCAAGGGTTTTTGAACTTTGTTCTGTTGCTCTGCCCCCAAATCTGGCAAAAACAACACAGGTGAGACCCTTCTGCAGCAAATCCAGCAAAATATCCTGAGGTCACTCACACTTGTAGGTCATCTTCAAGTTTAGGAGTAGAAATTCCTTAACTCTTCAAGACACCTATAATGTTCAGCACCACTTGGTCTCTAGGTTCCTCTGTAATACAACAGTATTTCACTACAAAATTAATATCAATTAATAGAACTTGCAGAAAAGAATGCTTTTCTACAAAAATACTTAATACTCAGTTAAGAACAAATTACCCTTATCTTGTCATTTCAAGAACTGAAATGTTATTTTTGAACATGCTTCACATCTTGCCAAATTTACAGCCTCAGACTACTGAGAAAGCTCAGGATGAAAAAAGGAAAATTTGCAAGTGCAGTTAAAAAGCACAGAAAATTAAGAAAAAAAGAGGGAAAAATTATGGTGTCTGCCACGTGCACAACACTAGATTGCAATTTTTTTTTTCCTCAGCTGAAGCTGCAGTAAATACTAAATGAGTTGTACAGTTCTTGTGTGGTCAGCTGTCAGGACCACAGTGGCACTGCACCAGCTGCAAGAGCACAAGCCAGACTGGACACCAACCCCACATCCTTTCCCTTGAGGAATCAGCCACAGCTTTGGTTCTGGACAAGTAGAGGATGAGCTGCCTGTCAGGAGCCCTCTTAGCCAGTCTGCCTGTTGTTTGATAGCTTTAGCCCTGAAGATACACAATTTACACACTGTCAGTTTACACAAGATTATCTTTACTTTTTTTCCCCAAAAAAGTTTTGGCTCTCAGGAAGTGCGCCCAGCTTTAGAGAGGCCCCACATGCAAGAGGCATCTCAAAACCCATTCATAATGTGCAAATTTATACACATGGAGACCTGCTCTAATATTGTGGCATTCATCCTTAAAACAACATTTTGGAAATAGCCTCTGTGGGTATGAGATATCAAATGTAGTGTGGGATACAGAAGTGTAAGACACCAAGTCCAATTCTATAGAGCAGTTATGACCACATTTTGTTTTTCCTTTGTGCTCTACTTTGGATGCTGATATTAACATTTCATTCTTTAAAAAAAGATTAGCAATACAAGCAATTCTTGGCTGGTAAATCTGATGATAACAAAAGATATAATTCACAGCTTTTAAAAATAAACTGACTGTAAGGCATCTGATTACTGGATCCACAAACATTAACTTTTATAGTAACTTTGCTGGAACCAGGAGGGTTTTGACACATCTCATTAGGCAATGTGGTTTTAAGACAATAGGAACTTCCACTGCAAGCTCCCCTTCAGGATTTCTATGGTCTTTTTTCTAAACTACAAGCAAATTTAAGAGTTGCTAATAATCAAATAATCACCACAACAATACAGACATTACAAGTAACAGGGGAGACTTTGAAGACATTCAGAAGTCTGCCCTTAACGTCATTCATCTCTCCAAGTAAACAAACATAAAATCCTGACATCAAGACGGAGTTGACTGGAAGCCAGACATCCTGAGTAGCCACTGGAAATGTGGTACTGCAGAGAAACAAACTGATGAAACCCTCTGCTTTCTTTTTTTCCATTGTACATTAAGCCAGGGGAAAAAATATATTCCCTCTATTGCAAGGGCAAAGTTAGTTTTGGCCCAAAAACTACAACCAAGCACTTTACACATGATATTCAGGGCTGTGGGACTCAGAAGAGGTTAAACTCTTACATAACATTATGAGTCTGGAGGAATCTAGATGCTTTTTATCTTTAATATATAGGTAAAAACTGTAAATGAATAAACACATCTATTTGCCATCAGCTAATTACACTTTTTCAGGTTTCTAGGTAGCACTTTCCATCACAGAGGTTTTCAGAGTCTGGGCATGCATGAACTTATGGAGTGAAAACTCCCCTGTGGAGCTCAGACCCCCTTGCACCAGAGCACAGGCACTGCACAGCAGAATCCAAAATGGTAAAAGGTTTTGCACTCTGCTCTGTATTGCTACTATGAATTTGAGGGTTTTACTTTTTTTTTTTTTTTTTTTTTTTTTTTTTTTTTTTATTTTTTTTTTTTTTTTTTTTTCTTTCCCTCTCTCCTCAGTTGCAGCATGGCCTGTACCTGCTGTACAATCAATAGGAGTTAAGAAGGAAAGATTTGGGATGGTGGCACTTACTCGGGGTGTTGAGGAGCCGTGACTTTTTGCAGTAGTAGGCTGCCTCCTGCTCACAGTACTCTGCACTGTTTATCACGGCCTCCAGCTGCTCTGCACTGCTGTTGTAGTTGAAGGACATGGTGTAGGGCTTGTCTGGACCAGCTCCTTGCACTCTGGTGAGCCCTGTGCTGTTGTGCTGCAGTGAAGTCCAGATCTTATCTTCTGTTAAATGAAAAACAATTGAACGGGAGGTTAACAGCAGAACACTTCCAACAAGCAGGGAACAAAAACCAACTGAAATCTAACATTTTACTGCAGAGAACAGAGCATCAGCAGGATCCCAGGCTCCAAAATGGGCACTTTGTGATGAACACCAATAGGTCTGTCTTCATTAAAGGTCAGTGTGGCCCACAAAGATGTTTCTCCCCGAACCAGCTCAAGCAAACACTGCACTGCCTGCTGAGCAAGAGAGAAACTACAAGCTTCCTGGGAAGCACAAAAGACCTTCAGCTTCTTCTATTACTAGATATCTGTATAAAATTAGATACCTTTCAACTGGCTTTGTCCCTGAGAGAAAATACATAGTAATATGGCTCATGGGGGTAATACTCACCTTTTGCCTGAGAGCACAGCCCATGCTGTTGTAACAATAAATGGAAGTAGATAACTGCAGCTGATGAGCTTGCACAAACTCACCATGAGCAGAAAGCACAATCTCTTGCCAGAAAGTTAAACTGAGAGTATGTTCTTACCACCCAGCTGGAAGTCAGATCACTCATTTCACTCAGTTCTCAGATTTTCTGCATATAAGTTGAGTGATGCCCTACTTGGATGACAGTACAGAATGCCATATGACTTGGCATCTGTAGTTAACTCTAAATATTGATGCTTTTCCATGCTGGGGAGCCTATTCTCATTTCCTTAATTTCATTTTCTGTCAGAACAAGGGATTGTGTAGGTGAATCTAGGCTTAAGCACAACCTGCATCCTACAACGGAGCTCACAATCAGCATTGGGGTTGGCATAATGAGAACAAGAACACCACACTTGGGAGCAATCAGCTTCCAGGGAGGCTTTTTCCCAGACGGTTCTGGTATAGGAATGGCCAAGGCAGAAAGGACAACCTGAATAGCCAATTTGCTGAGCTGACAGAGTTAAAGACAAACTATTCAAAGAGGATTCACAGGACTGAACCCTGCACGTGGCCAACACTTAGTAAGAGTCACATCAAGCAAATTTCCTCTTTATCAAAGACACTGCTTGTCTAGGGAGGATACAAGATACTGACAGGGCAAAAATTTAAGGCAGCAATTTTCAATCATTTGATGAGAAGGAGATTTCGATCTCACAGAAAAATGCAGACAGTTACAGAGGAAAAAGTTAGATCTAGGCAACAGATTTATATTTTGTTATTTATGCTTCATCAGGGAAACCCTAGATAAGAATGAATCATATCATTTCTAAGCTGATTATAAAATCTGTGCATTTAAGGATTTGGATGGTTTTACCATATGACCTGGCCTGAGTTCTTGCAGAGCCTGAACTTTGCAGTAATTCCCCAATACACTGGCATGATGAGCCCAATAGCTCTACAATGCATTGCAATCAAAGTATTTTTCGTTGAGCTACAAATATCCCCTAGATTACTTCAATAGAATGCTAATAGGTGTATAAAAATCCTAAATTGACTATCTATGCAAAGACACTCAGATGATTTAATGGATTCTCGTTATGGAGGCATTCAAATGACAGGCAAGTAACAACAGCCATCTGGAGACTATCTAAAGAGGTCTGTTCCAAGACCTGGCTGCAAGTCACAGAGAAATTAACTTGCATTAACTGTAAGGACAGTTTACACACAGCAAACCACACATTCACTCACAACCCTCTCACATTTCTGTGATGGTAGACAGAAAGTTTGCTCATAGGTCTGCAATTCTGTGGTTCTTACAAACTTCAGGGAGCTGCTCGTGGACCTGTGAAGTTGGAGCTCAAAGAAACATTGCTGCAAAGTGTGATACACAAAAGTCAGATTAAAATGATAAGAAATACTACAAATTTATTGCTTGTAATACTTGTCCCAGTGGCTGTAATCACAGTGAACACTGTAGCACAATACCCTGCACAGCCCTGCACATATATCCAACACAATATACTTTAATGACTTCTGACAGACATCTTGTACATCTCAAAGTAGGGATCCTTATCAGCCAGTCCCTCTGTTTTCTTTTGCTCTCTCAAGGCAATATTGACAAGAACAGAGTGGATTTTTCAGAAGCAGTTGAGGGTGAGTTAACCTTCCTCTCATAAAAGCTGACAGAAGTTTAACTTCTGTCTTAACTGAAATATCTACTCAAAAGACAAACACCAGTTGCTGATAATGTGAGACATAAAATCAGGAGATGATGGAATAAACTGGTTGCTGAAATTCCAAGTGGGCTGTCAAAAGCACCTCCCCACTGAGAGTTCTGAACATAATTGTAAGAAAATGCAATGAAATCAATGTTCACAATAGTGGCTACAGTGCTGCTGAGGAAGCAGAGCAGCCTAATGCTCTAGCTGTACAGTGGTTAACACTGCTGTGCTTTCCAGGCTGTGCAACAAGAAAGGTGCCATGTGGGTACCTGAAAGTCAAAAGCATCAATAGCAATCTAGAATCAAAGAAGGATTACTAGGAAAAGCTAATTAAAAATTGCACAAAACTGTCTTCCCCAAAAAAGTGTTGGAAATATAATTAATTGACATGTTTGAAATGAGGTTGGACGAGGTATCAGCAAACATACTGTAAGCAGCCAGCATTCATTAACAAGTGTTGGACAGGCCAAGTGACAGGTCTTCCTCTTATCGTCCTCTATGATTGTTAATTAATTTTCAGCAGTCTTGTTATCATTACAGCTGCACACAGCAGTCCTGAGATGTGAACTTTGACATTCTAGACCTGCTTTTCTGCACAGGATCATTTAGAAATAAATTGACCTATTTTCTGTCCTCTAGTTTACAAAAGGAAAGGAAAAACAAATCAAGTTTCTTTCTGTATTCAAAGTAATTGTGATTTAGCAAGTACATCAGAATGGAGTTTAAGAAGTTATAGCAGCATAGAAGGATTTTGAAGTTACATTTCAGAGATTTCCTAATCTACACATGCCTAGTCTGTTAGGCTTAATACTTCTACAGATCAGATCTAAGCTTTAGTGGTCACTTCAAAGTTTCCCTCTGTGCTTCACCTTTGAAGTAAGGGAATCCATCAGTTCAGCTTCTCAAAAAAGATCCATGTTTCTCTCATTGATCTAATGACAGGAAAGCCACAGCAAGCAAACCTCGGATCAGAAGGGCAGCTCAACACAACACAGATACAAAAGAGTTGGTGGCAACAAGAAGAGAAGAGGAAAAGGAAATCTATTCCAAGATTCTCAGTCACGCTTCTTCCCACTTCCCAGGGAAAAAGTACTTCCATTTTAGAAAGCAGCACATGAGGTGTAGAGGGGCATACGAAGTCAAACACAATCTGCTACAAGAATAAAGGATTGCATTCACATCACAGTAAAAAAACCTCAAAAAACAAAGTTCTTTCTTTCAAAAGGACACCCTTCTGTTTAAATGCAGCAAATGAGACTGAAAATTATTTAAACTTTGGGCAGAGTAGAAGAGTCAAAAGTGCTCCCTCCTGCATCTGGTTGACAGAGAAGTTACTAGGAGCTGGAGGGGAGTAAATCCTTGAACCATTCCAAGACAATAGCAAGACCATTGCATCTGCTTCCATAGATCAGAAAAACACTCAAAAATAATCCCATCATTTCTTCTGAAGACAATCACCTTTCAGATCAGCCCTTGGGGTTTATTCAAACCCTAGTTTCTCCACCTCAAACTTGGCAACAATTAGAAAAAGATCATTCTATTTTCTCAAATTCACTTGCACAAGTTTAGCTAGGGCTGCTCCCAAAATATCACTGCCTGGCTCAGAATGAGGTCAAGGCATTCTCCCCTCACTACTGGACTGACAGGTCCTCTGCAGCTGCTGACAATGATGTGTGATCTGGCACTGCAGGCAGGTTCAGGACCTGTGTGAGACACGCAGCTGCCCCCTGAACGTGCCCACAGATCACCCCAGCAAACACTGCAAGAGCTGTCTGCACCTCAGCCCCCTGTTTGGCACTTGCCTTTAGAGGCACACCTCTACACCTGCAATGCCCACAGCTTTTGAAAATGGAGCTTCAAACACTTGTTCCTGTTTCATAATGAAAGGATTTTTATTTAATCTTTGCTCTGTTTTGTTTACATTATGTTTTTACACAATACACTGTAATTACAGATGTAAACCAAGCTGAGTGCCACTATCTCCTTCTAGTCATTTCCATACCTGTTAAACCTGGAAACTGTTAAACAAAACAGATAGGGCTATCTTCCCATGTACTCCAACTAACAAGCTATCATTACACTTGTAAATCTGCAAAGAGAATTAAAAAGCTGTTGTCCAGGCATAGGTTACTGTTTATTTTTATCTTCTATTACTCCATTCTACTCTTTTATTACTTTCTCAGCTTGGGAAAATTTCAAACTAAACACAAGCTGGAAGTAATTCAAAACCAAGTAGGAGACTACAGCCACATCTTCTATTGTGTAACATGGAATAGTTTAATGCAGCCCTGAAAAGCAGATTTCCTAAATGCTTGTTAAATTATTTCCATAATTCAAAGGTGACAATGCTTTAATTTCAGGGTAATGCTACAGCTTTATGACTTCACAGTTTTATTTAATGGTCCAATTCACTAGGATATTATGCTGTCTGCATTTGGCCCTAGGAGATGCTTCTACAGCATGGGACTGCAATGCATTAAGCACATTTTAGACTCTCTGTTTAGCCTAGCCCATAGTTCTATCATCTTGCTGGAAACCTCCAAGTTGCTTTTGACGGCACACAAATTAAATTGTGGGAAATTAGAGCAGCTGGAAAACTGGCTTTCAATGAATTCTGTATTGTCTAATTCTCATTTTTATTCTTCAACTTGAAATATCCCTGTAGAACACATTCCACCCATACAAACTGCATCATTCCTTTGTGATTTAGGAGGTTTGTCACAAAACAAGATTATTCAGACTGATTAAATTGCCAACAAGCCAAACATACGGTAAATGCTACATGAGAGAAAAAAATAACTCTCAGACCTCATACAATGCATTCATTTCATGGTGCTCCACACTGAATGCCAAATTTTATCCTGAAT